TCTTTGTAAAAACTTCAATTGAATTTTAATAAAGTTAAAGGCATGGCCTCACTGTTAATATTTAAAAAAAAAAAAAATCTAAAATATTTTGTAATAACTGTTTATATAAATAATATAGTTATTTAGTAGCCTTATAAATAAGTATTCTATTTGTAAAAGTTTAAGATATTTTTTAAAATCTTTTTGATTCTTATATAAAAAGAAATTTTTTTTTAGTCTAAATATTAGGTTTTGTAAAGTAGAGACTAAAGGCATTTTTGAAGCTAACAGGTCAAAATAGCTAAGTGAAATTTGTTAAAAGATATAAAATTTTTGTAAGGTTTCTTAGTATTAAGCTAAGTTTTGCAAATCTGTTCTGTTTATAATAAGAAAGAGATTTTGTACTTTGTTATTTAAATATTTATATAAATTTGAAAAAGATCTTAATTATCTGAATGTATATTTTAGTTATTTTATTAAATAAAACATAAAACTTAGAATAGAGTCTTGGTTATAAATATAATAGTTTGGTAATTCAAGATAGGTAAACTAAAAAGAATAGCTTTTTTCAAATTACTAGAAATTAATTTAGATTCTAAAAATAGTAGTATTAGCATATTATTAATAAGATTTGATAATATTTTCTAGTTGTTTTAAAGTTCAGTTGTTGAAAATTTTTGCAAATCTTATTAGATAAAAAAAAGTATTTTGTAATCTTTTATATATCTATTAAATTAAAGTCTTAGTTAGTTAAATAGTTTATTGCTAGTTTTATTTATAATAATTTAAAGATTTAGTTACAATATTATTATTTGTTTTTAAAACATTGCATTATTTTTTGTAAGCATCTAAAACCTTTATAAATAAGTTGTTAAATTTTGTTTAATGCTGTGATCTAATTACAATAATTTATATAATGCTTATAAAAAATATGTATTTTTATAAACCAATTTTGCTAATATTGCTTTTAAGATATGCTTTAAGATAGATTTTGTAAAAAGTTTGTATCTGATTAATTTTTTAAAGTATTTATATAAGATTAATGCATTTTTGAATTTTAGATAAGTTTAAATTATTATATAATCTAACTTGTTTAATTTTTTTTAAGATTGATTGTATATGTTTATATTATTTTTTTTTATTACTATTAAAATATTTATTTAAAATTTTTTTGTTTTTTTTAAAAAAGACTTTTAGTAACTAGCTAGTTATATAATATCTTTTTTATATTTATTTCTCTAATATTGTGTTAGTTGAACAAGTTTTTTCTTTTTTATTATTTTTATTTATTATATTTTGATATACTTCTATATTAGATATTTGTTTATTTGTATTATTGTCTACAGGTATACTAGGTTTGAAGCTAGTTTAGATTAAATTATTTTGTTTATATTTTTATTTTGTTTTAGTTTAGAAAAAAAATATATTAGTTGTGATATAGTTTTGGATTATAAGCTAATTGATTTATAAATCTATAAAAATTTTTTTTTATTGTTTGATATAAGTTTAGAATTTATTTTTAATAATAATATTATGTTTTAAAAAATTAGTAATAAGTTTAAATTTTTTTTTTCTTTAGAAAATTCTTCTGTTATATTTTTTTCTAGTTGTTTAAACAGAAATAGTAGTAGTTTATACTTTTTTTATTATTTTGTTTATCTATTATATTATTATTTTTAATATATATAAAAACAGGTTATGCTGTTTTATTTTGGATTTTTGTTAAGTGTACTCTATTATTATTATTTTTATTATTGTTATTGTTTACTTTAGTTATTAATATATTTATTAATAGAATTGTAAAAAGAACTAGAGTACAAAAAGCTTCTTCTCTGTTTTATTTAATCTTTAAAAGTCTGTCTTATATAATTGTTACAAGTTATTGTTAATTATTTATTTAATTATAATATTTTAAAATATGACTTGTTATAATTATTATTATTATACTTATAAAAAAAAGATTTACAAAAAAGAGTTTTTAGTTAAATGCTGAAATATAATGCCTTTTAGAACTATTTTGATCTTTATTTAAATTATTTATTTTTGTTATTTACAAATATAACTATGTATTTATTATTTATTAAAACTATTTAAAACTATTTAAAATTATTTGTAATTATTTATTTAATATTATTAAAGATATGTAATTTGTTTGTTTACATTCTTTTTTTATTTCTTATCTATACTTCTGTATCTGAAATATTACAAATATAATTTATTGTATTGATTGTATTTTATGAATTTTTATATAATTAGCCAAAGTATTCTGATATTATAATATAAATAATGTATTAAAAATTAAACTAAATAATTTAAATATAATAAACATCTATAAAAGTATTTATTTAAAATTAAATAAATACCAAAAAGTATTTAAATATTTGAATAAAAAATTAGAAGTTGAGTCAAACAGTAAAAAAATAATGATAAATTGTATTGAAACTAACTTGAATATTTCTTAAACTATTTAGCAGACAAATTTGTTTACTAAAATGTTTTTAGTTATATATTTTTTAAAAATTACTTAAAAATAAGTTTTTTTTTTATAAACTAAAATAAAATTTAATATTTATTTAATTAATATTTAATAAAATTTTTTATATTAATATATATAAGATTTTTTTAATAATTTAGTTTATTTTTGATCTATTCTAAAATTTTACTATAAAACTTTTAAAAAAAATTTTATAAATTTCAAATTTATATATGTTTCTAAAATGAATTTTTTATTTTACTACTAGTAGAAGTTAAAATTTTAATTATAAAATATCAAAAGTATTTTAAATAAAGTTATACAATTTGATCTGCTCTATAATTTTTGTTATAAATATAGTATACTTATTTTTAATAATTTAAAAAAATGTTATATAATAAAAATAAAATTTTTAAAAATTTTAATTTTTAAAATATTATATATTTTTTTAGTTTGTAAGTAACTTAATTTTTTTTCTAATAATTTAAAATTTTAAAGTACTAAAATATAATCTTTAATTATAGTTTTAATTTTAAAAAAAAAATTTTAAAAAATCTTAAAATTTGATAAAAATTGATTAGAAACAAAGGTTAAAATTTTTAAAAAATTTTAACAGCTAAATTTACTTGCTAAACTGGACAGTTTAAGGAATAAATAAGTTCCAAACAAATCATGAAAACATAAACAACTTATTAGAAAATGATCCAAATCATGCTAGATTATTAATGATTTACGGGTTAAATTATATGATTTTAGTTCGATATCAAGGTTCTTTGGATGATTTTACAAGTGCATTAGAAATAAAGCAAACCGACTTATGAATTCGATTAGAACTAAAAGATATCATAAACCAAATAATGTGTAATTACAAATCAGACTTGGCGATAAAGTCTCTTTAAGTGAATGTGCAAAAACATATAAAATGTTAAGTCGATATGAAGAATCCGTCGCCAATTTTAATAATTCAATTGTATTGCTAAAGGCTGATGTAATTGATTATTATTCTCTTGGTTACTAGGAATGATCTTTAATAGATTTAAATAAAGCTTTAGAAGTTTCTCTCGATGATAAAATAATCTTGGCTCGTCGCGCAGATGTACATCGCATATTGGAACGTTATGAAGAGGCACTTGAAGATCTCAATGATTTATTAGAAACTGATTCATAGGAAGTATTTGTTTTACGTAGTCGTGGTGAACGTTCATTTTGTCAAAAATTACTTATTTCTCAAAAATTACTTATTTCTCAAAAATTAGCGTAAGTAATCATCTTTAGTGCCCTAAAAAAGTTTTTTCGTTGAGAATTTTACTGTACAAACTACTTCCCTCTAATTCCTAAACATGACCCCTAACCTTAACATAAAGAATTTTTGCTAAGACACGAACATGGCACACATTCAAATAATACAAAATTCTTAAAACTCATTGCTATAATGATAAAGACTAACATTCATATTTAAATTAAAATTAACAAGATGGTGAATCGTTTAGGAAAATTTTTTCTATTGGATAAATTTGACAAAATAATTGACTTTTACAAAACGAACGTTTGCTTTGAATTTTCTGATTACATATGATCCTAAAAATTTATTTGTACTTCAGAGATCTGCGCCACTATCCATTACATGCCCAATAGTCGTCTTCCGTTCCTGGTTTCGCATGACAACGTCGCGCAACTATCTTATGTATTAAATTGTTATCATGTAAGCATATTGTGTATAATTGATCTATATTTAACAAGTTGATCGACAATACACGTGTTTAAATCAAGCAATCTAATTGGACAATCTTAAACAAAAAGCTTTCAGTTAAAAGATATACAAAATCGATCTTCATTGTACACATTTACTGTAGTATAGTGGATAGGGCGTCTACTACCATTGTAT